GTCTACGCACCAACCTCGGCACATCCCGATGAGGAGATAGAAAAAATGTATGAGGATATTTCTAGAGCCATGCATTCCTCCAAAACCCACTTACACGGTGTTGATGGGAGACTTCAACGCAAAACTAGGCACAAGAGAAGGCGGTGAGCTGAAGTTAGGGAAATTTGAAGTAGGGCAACGGAACCGTAAGGGCCAGCAGCTGGCTGACTTTATGGAGAAAGAGGGACTCTTTACGATGAACTCTTTCTTCCAGATGCGGTCTCACAGGAAGAGGACCTGGTCGGGCCCCGACGGTTCGAGAAAAAATGAGATTGACTTCATTATGACGACCAGACGCCAACTGTTCAGTGATTTCTCAGTGATGGCAAGGGGACCCGCAGCGATCACCGAATGGTTAGAGGCACACTGAACCTAAACGTTAAGTTGGAGAGGTCTCGTCTAATGAAGTCAACGCTCCGTCCCCCCTCGTGCTCTAATCCAGAATCCCGAGACTTTTCAGCTCGAGTTACGTAACCGCTTTCAGTGCCTAGATGAATAACAAGCTCGTGGAAACTGTCCATGCCGTCGGAGCTAAGTTCTGCAAGACCCGCCGCAGAAGAACACAAAAACTCTCCGATCACACTCTTAATCTCATGGCTGTTAGACGGGAGATGAGGCTGCAATCGTCAACAGATTTGACAGCATACAGGCAACTGAACAGACAGATCTCTAAATGCATGCGGCGAGACTTACGCAACTTTAATACTGCTTGCATTAAAGAAGCGATCGAGCGGAACCAGGGCTCCAAAGTCTTTGCCAGAGATCTGTCTGCCAGAAAGAGCCAACTGTCAAAGCTGTAGACTGAGTGTGGCAGCATCGTTTCCGAGACACCTGAGATTTTGAGTGAGATTGAGAGGTTCTATGGGCAGCTGTACACATCATCGTTGGAGCCACACGCAAGTGTGAGTAACGATCCAAGAGCAAGTCTTACCCGTCACTATTCCGATGATATCCCGGACGTCAGTCTGAGCGAGATTAGAATGGCTCTCCAGCACCTTAAAAACGGCAGGGCCCCAGGCGAGGATGGTTATTACAGCGGAGCTTCTGAAAGCGGGTGGAACACCGGTACTTGAAGTCCTTCAGAGGCTCTTCAATTCCGTCCTCCATGGTGGCACTACTCCGGAGGCATGGAGCAGAAGTGCGGTGGTCTTGTTCTTTAAGAAAGGCGACAACGCTCTCTTGAAGAACTACAGACCAATTTCCCTTCTGAGCCACGTCTACGTGCTGTTTTCGAGAGTCATTGCGAATCGTCTCGCACGCAGACTCGATGACTTCCAGCCTCCCGAACAAGCCGCTTTCCGAAAAAGCTTTAGTACCATAGACCACAAACATACCCTGCGGCAGATTGTACAGAAGACCGAAGAGTACAATCTGTCACTTTGCCTGGCGTATGTGGACTATGAGAAAGCCTTTGATTCCGTCGAAGTTTGGGCGGTGCTACAGTCTCTTCAGCGGTGCCAAGTTGACTGTCGGTATATCGAAGTGGTGAAGTGTTTGTACAGTAGGGCTACGATGGCTATCCGAGTACAGAACCAGAGTTCGAAACCTATCCAACTGCAGAGAGGTGTAAGACAGGGTGACATTATATCCCCGAAACTTTTCACCGCTGCGTTGGAAGACGTTTTCAAGCTACTGGACTGGAAAGAATACGGTATTAACATCAATGGCGAGTACATCACTCACCTTCGATTTGCCGACGATATAGTCCTTATGGCAGAATCGCTGGAGGATCTTAACACTATGCTCAATGACGTGAAGTTGTTGACGAGTACGTTTACCTGGAACAAATAGTCCGACTAGGTAAGTCCAACTTCGACCGAGAGGTCAATCGAAGGATTCAACTCGGCTGGGCAGCGTTCGGGAAATTACGACACATCTTCTCGTCAGGTATACCCCAATCTCCGAAAACTAAAGTGTACAACCAGTGCGTGTTGCCAGTGATGACTTACGGATCAGAGACGTGGTCCTTCACTGCTGGCCGTATGAGGACACCCAAGGTCGCTCAGCGAGCTATGGAGAGGACTATGCTCGGAGTTTCTCTGCGTGATAGACACAGAAATGAGAATATCCGCAGTAAAAACAGAGTGACCGACATAGCCCAACGGATTAGTAAGCTGAAGTGACAATGGGCCGGCCATATAGCTCGAAGAACCGATAACCGACGGGGAAGAAAGGTTCTCGAGTGGCAGCCTCGTACCGGTAGGCGTAGTGTAGGGCGACCCCCCACTAGATGGAGTGACGACCTGGTAAGCCATGCAGGAAGTCGATAGATGCAGGTGGCTCAGAGCCGTGCTTTGTGGCATTACTTGGGGGAGGCCTATGTTCAGCAGTGGACTTGTGAAGGGCTGTAATGATGATGATGATGATGATAATGTCTAAAAATGTACTTAAAAAAACAGTTATGGCACAAAATTGGCTTTTAAGGGCAAACGCTGCAAAAAGTATTAACTTTTTGTCTCGTTGCGTGCATGTTTTTGACATTCGTCTTGTAGCATTCCCCACATTTTCGGCTAGTTTTTCTGGATGGACCGTCAAATTTTTCCAAAACGTGTTCCTTTCTTTTCGGTCTTGTTGGCGCTTGTTCATCTGCTTGTTGGATTACACAGAAAGATTTCAAACTAGCTGTCCTAAAATCTGTAACTTTTATTTTTGTTTTATTTACAGACTGGTACAAAACATGGACATTGATCAGAGCTATATTCAGAAGCATATCTAATGTAATCTTTTTATACCATCGGATTGATTTGCGCAATGGGGTTGAATAAGAAGCCATTTGATCTGCTAAATCTACACCTCCTTTGGCGTTGTTGTATTCTAAGGCGATTTGCAGCTTCCTCACAACTTTTCCGCGTTTAGTGATCTCTACGAGTATTGTGGATAACACAAGTACATCGCGCTTGTCTTTCAAACTCAAACTCAAACATTTTATTGCGTTCATGTGGTTACATAAATAGTTCTTAAGTTGGATATATTAGAGCCAAACATGAGCCCTGATAGGGCGTAGCAATATTATATTATATTATGTTATTTGTCAATTTATTCTAATTAATTTAGAAAGACGAATTTTATTTTATTTACTTAAACTACTTACTTAAACTATTACATTACTTTTAAGTTTAATAAACATTTGCAATATTTACAACGATATTAAAGAGCTGCACCGGAGACCATAACAATTCAAGCGTAAGCGTGGGCGTAGATTGCTGAATTGCGTCTGGAAGACGGGTGATCTTTCCTGCGAATACTGATAACTGTTCCTTAGCTTAAAGATCTAGAATAAGAATTAGGATAGTCTTAGTTTGGCTCGCACATGTATTGGACATGTAGCCTTAGGTTAGAATCCGTCGCGGATTAATTAAGTAGTATATAAGTAATGTATCGCACATTAATAGTTATAAGTTTATTAATAAAGTCTTTTTAAAAACGTCCTGTGTCAATTTCGAATCTTGACTAGGTATACATATTCAAAATAAACAATTATTATTTTCACCGAAAAACTCTGACAACGAACAGAAACTTTTTTCAATTAAATATTTTTTAAGCTCTTTTTGAAATTTATACAACGATTCTTTAGACATTTGGGAAATTTATGATTTTACTGTTTGTAATTTTGTGATAGGTGGAGCTAATTTTATACTAGGAGGTAAAAAATGAGGCCGGGAGTATATTGAAAAAAGGTGCATATTCTTTTTAACAAATGTGCATATTTCTAGTGTATATATGTAGATGTAATTGTTAATGTTTTTAATGAATAAAAAAGTAGGATTTACAGCTGTCAGTGCTATCTATGTTTGTAATTATTCGGATACATTTTTTTGTAAAATAAACAATTTATTTAGGTCTGTGCTGTTTCCCCACAGTAAAATGCCGTACTTGAGCCATGCATGGGCATAAGCATAGTATGCACACGTGGCTGTTCTTGAATCTGTAACTTTTTTAAGTTCGTATAGTGCATACGAGAAACGGGAAAGTTTAGATGATACTTTCTATATGTGTTCTTTCCAATTTATACCTGAATCTATGTTTATACCTAATAATGTACATGAATCAACACATTCAAGTTTAGTATCGTTGTAAGAATAATTTATAGATAGGGGGCATTTTTGATACGGCTTAAATTGTATTATCTTAGTGTTTGTGCAATTTATGACGAGATTGTGATTTTTTAACCATTTAGAGATATCTGTAAGTACACTATCTAGACAGTTGTTAAGATTGTTGTTAGTATTATTGTCGAAAGGTATGACTACAGTAAGATCGTCGGAAAACAAGGTACAGGGGGCTTTGACTATTTTCGGCAAATCATTAATATAAATTAAAAATAATAAACAACCGAGAACACTACCCTGCGGTATTGATTTAGTGACCGGTACAAATTGAGACCTGACTTTAATCACATTTCCACTGGCTAGGTTATGGTGTTCTATCTCTACACACTGCTTTCGATTGGTCAAGTATGATTCGAACCAGTTGTACGTTGGGCCTCTAACTCCTATTCCGTGTAACTTCCGTAAACGTATGACAAATCGAACTCGATCATAGGCTTTGGTCATGTCCAGTAAAATACTGATCGCGTATTTCTTTTTATTAAATATATTTAATATTTCATTGACATATTTGTATACTGCTGTAGTTGTTGATCTGTTTTTGCGAAAGCCATATTGATTGTCATTTAATATATTGAACTTTTCGCAGTAACAGTATAGTCTATTAGCCATAACGGATTCAAATATTTTTGAAAAAGTTGGAAGAATAGCAATAGGGCGATAGTTGTTACAGTCAGTTTTAGAGCCTTTTTTATAGAGTGGTTTAATTATTGAAATTTTTAGTTGGTCTGGAAATTTACTTTCTGTAAACGATTGATTTATCAGGAATGTCATAACTGGGGCTAGTTCTTCGGCGCATTTCCTAATTAGACAAGGTGGTAAGTCATCTTTCCACTTTAACACCGTTATTCCATCTTAACTCTCTTCAGCATAATAATGTCCCCTCTTGAGTTTGGTGCTGATGACTTTTTGAGGAAGCACCCGCCTGTTTTTTCTGACCGTCCCGATAAGATGAGTTTGTTTGTCCAAAATGCTAGTATACCAGTTGTCAGTTTGCCAAGTATGCCCCGTGTCAACGTAATCTTCACACAAAGCCATCACAACATTTGTGGGTGTTCTGTTTGTAATATCGTTTTTTCCAGCGTAGACATTTATTTTGTGTGTAAATCCAGGAACAGAGGACAATTTGAATAGTTTGACACCATACTTATGCCGCTTTTGTTTGTTGTACTGGCTGAATATGATTCTACCACGAAATGGCACCATACTCTCATCGATGCAAATATCTTCATTTGCAGTAAAATATTGCCAAAATGACACATTCAAATCGTTCATCAGCTTCCTAATACGATGAAGACGGTCGGACTTATTTTCTTCATCATCTTCTGAAAAATGCAACATGCGAAGCAAAATTTGAAACGGTTACGTGACGTATCAGTTCTAGGAAAAGCATGCCTGATAACTTCGTCCTTCGACCAATAGTCCGATAATTTTAGAAGCCTGACCACACCCATGAAGAGAAGCAAACCAAAGAATTTCTTCATCTCCACAAAGTTCATTGGAACCCACTGGTTGTTACGCGCACCAGCAGAAGCATTAGGTTTCTTGGCTATTTGTTCAATAGCGTATTTGTTAGTTGCAGAAACTATATAATGTAACATAACATCAGCGACATAAAGCGAATAGAAATCAGCTGAAGACTTACTCACCATTGTGGAACGAACCGCATGCGATGGCCCCGAAATGTCAGTAAATGGAATCAAAAGACGTTGTTTACATTTTGGAGGTCCCCATCCACCGTCAACAGTTGAGTGTGTTCTGGTAAATCAGGTGCAGTATTTTCTGCTCCACTAGCCTCACTTTTCGAGTGGATGATACGGCGACAATAACGTTTATTCGGCTCCGATACTAAAAAAATCTCGTTCTCATCTTCAGAAGATACCTTAAAACTTGAATTCAACAAGTTTATTTCAATGTTCCCGATTTGGTCTAAATCTTCTTGGGTCACTTCAAAATTTTCGAATTCTTCTATTATAACTCCACGGTACCCTAATTTTTATAAAAAAGACGATATATTTTCCTACGCGAGCGCATAGGTAAATGAACGAGTGAAGCTTCTCGCTGGAGTTCGGGAGTGTGGGCGATGTGACGGCACAATATTATTATTAATAATTAAATTCAATATAAAGGGGCATCAAAAATAGTCTTAAAATATATATATTAAACAATAAAATTACATTATTAAGCATAAAGTTAAGATAAATACATTTCGGACATTAGACAAATAATATAGTAAATTTAAGGCAAAATATTGTCTTTCAGAATAAATAAATTTATTTAAAAACTTGTAAAAATATTTAAAATTTGATAAATAATAGAAATACAAGACAAAAATATTATAAAAATAAAGATAAATAACATTTATTAGATAATTAGAAAATTTGTTAAAAATTGACTACGTCATGGAAGGAGTTCGTGTATAAAAGAAAATTTTCGTTTGTGGAAAGTGTTCGTGTATAGATGCTTGTACGGAGAAGCTACCGGAGATACATGTCTGCAGTTGTACATATATGGGGTGGTCGGGTGCCCGACTGCTTGAAGTACTGTAGCACAATGACTAGTCCTATATTAGGGACTTATGATAGTAAACTCAATTATACAAAAGCAATACTATAGAAGGTCTCTATGATGAATTTGCATTACAATAATAGGGTCGTGGGTTCAAGTCCTATATATTAAAGACTTATGAAAGTTTGGTCTATGATACAAAAGCAATACTATAGAAGGTCTCTATGATGAATTTGCATTACAATAATAGGGTAGTGGGTTCAAGTTCTATATATTAATGACTTATGAAAGTAAGGTCTATGATACAAAAGCAATATTATAGAAGGTCTCCTTGACGCATAAGCAATATATTTTCCTTTCTCGAGCCCTGTCTTCGTGAATGGGGTTCACTTAGCTATAAGGCACTACCAACAGCCTCTAGTAAATATTCATTCTTCCAAAAGACGCCTAAAAGAATTAAGTTAAACAAACACAATGTAAATAAGGGTCCTAACTAAGACGATCACGCCAAAATATTACAAACGGCCTATTATTAAACCTTTTGAAAGATCATTTAGAAAGATCAAAACATATTTTATTTATCCTGGTCACATATATAATTTTTAATATATAGAGGAATTAATTAAATATAATATATTTAATATTTAATATTTTTGTATATAGAGAGAGGGGGGGAGCGTTACAGCGACATAGCCCGTGACCCGCACGGCGCCCGGGCACGGGAAGGCAGTTGGACGTTCTCGCAGGTCGCGACGGACGCTGGTGTCTGCCATTTGACATCTCGGAAAATATTGAGTAAATCGCTGTTTCCGTATGTCGCCCATTATTTTTGAGTTATTTCCTGATAATATATGCAAAAAAACACCTCAAAGATTTTTGAACGATTAACGATTTATTGGTGCGGCCCCGGGGTAAAGTATGCTGTCGGACATATGCAGTCTTACTACCAAAAAGTTAGACATCTGTTCATCACGTGTTTATCAAAAGAGTTACTACAAAAGAGTGTTTAACGGTGGTTTATGGATAGGCACGACTTAGACGTTGTTTAAATTTAAACAGCCAAAAACCCTTGTTTAACTAGTGTCTAACCTATCTTTTCCGTCAGTTCAGTATTTTTTTTAACATGAATACAATTGATTATGTTGATTACTTCGATGAAGACAACATGGATAACTATGTGGAAATGTTCCGAGAAAGTAATACGGTTCGTGTGAGGGTTATCCGTTTGAAAAATATGACGACACCAAGTTTAAGAAAAAATAGAAGATCAGCAAACTTTTGCTAGAAAAATATTAGATGTTGTGAAAGACGATATACCGAGTGATTCTCGTGGTAACACAATAGATCCAGCAGTGCAAGTGGCTTGTGCATTACGGTACTGGGCTCGCCATCAAGCAAATTCGATTCATACAAAATTAAACTATGCTTACGTGTGGCGTCGGTAGAGAAGAATAGCTTCACCCATCACACTGTATGTTTACTTATTATTTGCAATTTTATTTCAGATTCAAGATGACAGTGGATATATGCATGGGATTTCTAGCAATCAGTCAGCAAAAGCGCTCATAATGTTGGGAAAGCATTAGCTAAAAAAGCTTATTTATTCATCAACAGCCCACTACACTAGAAGATCACAAGGAAACCATCAGAGGATTTAGAAGTATATGTAATTTCCCCTCGGTGATAGGGGCTAAAGACTGCACGCATATATATACGAGTTAAAAGGGTAGGTGGCGATATGAGTAAAGCCTATGTGAACAGAAAGGGTTAATATTCTATTAACGTGCAAGTTGTCTGTGATTCAAACTTGAAAATCAGAGACATAGTTGCACGTTGGAGAGGAAGTGCTTACGACTCTCGGGTTTTCAACAAAAGCACAATAAAAGAACGATTTGAACGTGGCGATTTTCATGGAAGATTACTTGGAGACAGTGGATATGCATGTACTGCATATCTCTTTACACCTTTGCTTAACCTTTCAGCTGCGGAGACTCTAACCGTAATTCTCCGTTGACTGCGGAGCTGTTTAATAAAATGGACGGCTGATTGGGCCCAATCCGTTTAAACGCAAATATCTTGATTTTCGTATATCGAATACTATAATATGTATACATTTCTGAATTCTCTATGAAATTTCCTATAAAAGAGTATATATATTTAATAAAGTTTAAAGTGTTTAGCATAACTTAAATAGAATAAAGTCAAAACTATCATATTTCTCAATGACACAAAGTTTTTTAATAGTTCAATTTTATTTTATTTTAGTCTTACGTCTATTGTTTACAATATTTTATGTGCAAAATCATAGGCTACAATACAATTTTTATCGTAAAACGCATTAATATTAAGTTTACAAGAACCCACAATCAATTTACACCGATGTAGCATGTAGTTCGGACCAGATGCGGCATAATGCGGCGTAATGCTTTAGTCAATAAAAATAGTTTTTTTTTTATATCATTACAATGATTTAGTCTTGAATCTCTCTTTTTCTTTACATGATTCAGTCATCTTTCAATAGGTCTTGCTAAGTTTTAGAAATCCGATAAAGTATTTCATAAGTACTCTTAATGCCGATATCAAAATTTTAGTCGTAAGTGCCATATTTATTGAAAAATTAATTACTTTATTTGAGCAAACAAACTTTAACAGCACTTGTACAGAAATAAAGATTCATTCATTCCTTTAAAAACCATAAAACCACTCAAGAGTCACTCCCGCTGATGTAGAGTTATAAATAACGTTTTTTGTAAACAATACCCAATGCACCATAATATGTATCGAGTGACAGAGGCGCCGCGAGGTGCGCAGCGGTTATGTTACATTTCCAATAACCAATAACATTATTTCTCCAAACGGTAACATATTTCCTTTAACACAAACAATAGCTACGAAATAATAAAAATTAAAATAAATATATCTCTTTCTGAAATAAAAAAATACTATTTATGTATATTTTTAAAGAACCCACTTCTTATGCATTATACAAAAATATGCCACAATTAAAGTTCGATTCTGCACTTTTTTGTGCATCATGTACTAGTTCATTAAAACATTTTTTATGCGTGGTAGAGCCATGCTGCAGTTATATTAGTAGTATAGTTGTAGCACGAATGGGTCGGCTCGACCGGGGAAGGACCACACTCTCACAGAATACCAGCGTCAAATAGTAGCTTAATGCTGCTGTGTTTCGTATGGTGAGTGTAGAGAACCGAAGACCATTTTTGCTAGAAAAAAGGCGTTCCATCTTAGTCTTCACGGGTGACAACGCATCTGCATTTGATGATAGATGTAGCATGCGCATGCGCATACGAGGATAGATGTAGGCGGTCCCATAATGAACTGGCCTGATATAGTTCAACGCGACATGTCGCTACATGTTGTATTGCATTAAATAGTACGTTTATCGTGCACTTAATATAAGAAACATGCATCGACATGAAATGCTTAGTCTTAGTTTAACAGGCATTTGAATAACGAGAGTCGCGTATTTTTTCAAAATGTCGAAAACTGAGTATTGAAGTGTCATAAAGTTTCTGTTTAAAGAAGGTTTATCCCCTGCCCAAATAAAAGAACGATTGAATGGCGTGAATAAGGAGTCTGCCCCCTCCTATAGCACAGTGAAAAATTGGGTGAAAGAGTTTCGCCTCGGGAGAGAAACCGACGAAGAGTTTGGCCACGACGGTCGACCTGTGGAAGTGCTCACTCCCGAAACGATTGCTCTTATCGAAGAGGAGGTTCTGAGTGACCGCCGTTTGAAGATTAGAGAAATTGCAGCAAGGCTTGGGCTCTCTAAGAGTACCGTTCATCGGGCGATCCATGAACATCTTCATATGAAAAAAGTGAGTGCAAGATGGGTACCGAAACTTCTTTCAGCGGTACAGAGACAGGAAAGAGTGCGCTGCGCTCACTGTGATCGAGCGGCTAGTGACTGGTGATGAAACTATGATCTTGTATTATGATCCACAAAGCAAGCGCGAGTCAATGAAATGGCGTTATAAGGGTGAAAAGCCCTCTAGAAAGGCAAAGGTGCAACAATCGACTAAAAAACTGATGTGCACAATATTTTGGGATTTTCAAGGCATTTTGATGG